TTTCATTGAAATCCTGACTTCTAGGCACTGGGAATATTTCTGTAACTGAAAATCCTGACGTGATACAGCAAAACGGTTATGATTTTTGAAATCAGCGTACCCAAATTAGTCTAATCATTTTTCACATCTCCTGTGAAAAACTTGTTGTTCAGTGTAATTGTTCAGACAAATAAAAGAGTTACTTTGGGAATCAAATGATTTGTTCATTTACACTGAAGATTCGTAACCCAAAATGAATTGACACCTTTTTGAACATGTTTGCTTAACGAGAAGGATGTATTTCTTGCTGTTAAAAGATCCATGTGAGGACCGAAATGATTCGTAAATTAGAAATGAAACCTTCACAAAAAGTCTTATTACAACAAATACATTCAACTCAGATCTCAATTGTAAAAGCGTATGAAAGAGTTGTACTTCCTACTGAGAGGAGATTCATTGGAGAATCAAATGATTCATTCACTAAAAATATTGGTCTGCGATATATAATAGCAGAAAAGTTATGAGTCGTAGAAAACAAGTAACACATCAAATCCCTTTCTCTTTTATTTAAATCCTTCATTAGAAAAAATATTGCCTCTTGTATGGTCACGTATTTATGTAGAGAGATATTTAAATAATTTATTCAATCTCGACCCTAAAATAAAGACCTTATGTCTCAATGCCAGCATAGGAAATATTTTTACCAAATACAGTCAAACCTGTCAATTGTTGTGACTCAAGGGAAGCCAAATAAGTGTCTGCTGTTGACAGGTGGCCGATATATATATATATATATATATATCCTTGTAAGGTCGTTTTTTGGCAAATGAAACATAGGTTTGACTGTATGACTCTATTTCAATAATATGATTAAATAGATATAAAGATAGTAACATGAAGGACATAATTCAACAAATAAATACTCCAATGTTTGCCAAAAATAATAGACTCTTCAGCTATTGATAAAAATACACATTAACACCGTCCAAAAAATTTATATATTTACACACTTGAATCATGATAAGAACTTTGAATATATTAGCAAAAGGGGTTATACCTAGTTGTCTGGCTATTTCTAAAAACATGTGCTACATATTTCTTTCTTCCATCAAACATTATAAAAATGGTTTCATATAATACATAACATAACACAAACAAAAATGTATCCCTTGATTTAATAGAACAATTAGAAAAGGAAAATAATAATTCATAATGAGGCCTATGTTTATAATCTATTTATAATTTTTAACTCATGATTTTTCTAGTATACCAACTATACGATTAACTAAGCACAGAAAATAGTGCTTATATATCTTAAGTGCCTACTATCTAATTCTAGGGTAAATAGTTTTAATGTAGGGAATACACTTTTAGATATGCATGTCTAGGCAGGGAATACTATAACTACCTGGAATAGGAACTCCCTCCTTTTTATGTCAAAGTTTAACTACCTTCGTAAAAAAGAAAAGGGAAAGGAGGGAGTTCTTTCTATTAGGAACTCCTTTTAAATATATAGTAATGTTTGTTTCTGGTAGAAATAGTATCATTAAGCAATATTCCTTAAAAATATGAGTTATATCGACTGAGTAATTTTAACTTTATAATTAAGGATAGGATGTTAGTTTTGAAAAAAAAAGATAAGAATAATAATTTAAAAAAGCGATTAAGTATGACGTCACTCGCTTCTGTAGAGGAGTGAACATCAGCTCAAAAGGGAGAAATTCATCCTTAGAGATATTAATTGTATCTTCTCAGGACCTCATGATCCATTTCACTTATTCAAATAAAGTAGCTGTTCACACTTCAAAAGAGGATAATTGTTTAATTTGTTTTCTCATATCTATCGATAAATGGATCGTTCCTCTGACTATTAAACGTGATAAAAGAAAGAAAGCTGTGTTGCCACCACCTAAATAATTTTTTTATGGTGAGTTTTTATAAATCAGCCTTTTTCTTATCCTTTCTCATTGAACAAATCCTAGGTTTGATTGAGTAAAATTAATGCTTCTTAATATCCTCATGCAAATATGCAAATCAATCGAACCAGAGAGGTGACACCTCCCCCTCCCCCCAAAAAAGAACAACCTACAATTATACCTAGTATTTTTAACTTTTTCATATACACCATTGCATGGTTTATGCAGTTTGAAAGTGAACAAACAGTTTAAGGGAGTGCCATGTGTGTTAAGGCGTGTTCAACTCTCTATGTTGAGGGCGCGGGTAGGTTAAAATCCCGAAAGGGGATGGTCATTACTAAAATCCTAGGTTCGATAGACGAATTATACGCCAGTATGCTTATCCAGTCGAAAGCTTCAAACCTGTCGACCATATAGAAAAAAGTTTTATAAGCTTTCCTCGTAATATGTTTTTCATAATCTAATGAATATCCAATCGATCGATGATTTTGTAGGAAATCTATTTGTCTAAAGATAATAATATAACACAATTTGCTTACGCCCACCGATATGGATTTATTCTACTGAATACCGGCAAGACATTTCTTATTTATTTCATATGAACAACCTCGTTCATTACATTAGCTAATATATTCTGTCAAAAGTAACTATTATATTATTTGCTTCTCAAACATTGAGAAATATCTGACCATATAAGTATGTATTTTCTTCCTTCAAAGGATTTGTTTATTTCCATATGATTATATGCACATATGCCCAAATCTTCAATATAACTCAAGTTCTTAACGACCAGTTTTTTTGGGCACCTGACCCGGAACTCTATTGCCATGAATAATCATATATTTATACACTTTTTACTTGATTTCCGTTTGCTTGAGTGCATGTCTATTATAAATAAACACATAAGGAATGTAAATATTTGCATACAAAAGATTAGGTAAGAATATAATTGGCTTCAATGCCAAAAAGGATTTATAAAATTCAAATATGTGGTAATGGAGGCATTTTATTGCAAAAATATTTTTGTGATTATAAGATCCTTATGAAATATCAAAAAAATGCAAAAAACAAATTTTTGGATTAATTTGTTAACGCTGACTCATACCATAATGTCTTTCAGGGAACCAAGCCATTGTCACTTGAATATTTGAAACAACAAGAGATACGATTTAGACAGAGCTCCAAGGGAAATTCAAACTCAAAAACCCTCCACCCACCGATGACTTTGGGTTTTCCATGGTGCTCCTAGGAAAAAGGTATATACAACAGCCTTTTTATATAAAGGTGTTTCCTTACGTACATAAACTTAGTTTATACCAGTAGATACTTGGACAAGTTCTGGTTTGCTGGAGCGGATCTACGAACTAAACAAATAATATAAAAGGTGGGGCTAATCATAAAATTATACCCTATTATTTTTTGCTCTATTATGCTTTGATAACTATGACTTTGTCTTTGAAGCACTACAGTCACATTTATATAGTATGTGAAAGTAGTACCCTAGAATATGTTGAACAGGAGCCAAAAAATCGACTCCCACAGCAACAATGGAGGTATTATGTGGCTCATTCAACTGCATTTATTGTAATGGAACGTGCCTGCCTAACAAGAATATATACAAAATTGGACAACCCACTGAAATGGGTTTTGACCATCAAATAAAGGCATTTAAATCAAATATGGATGAGCCACAAAGCATATGTAAGATCCCAATTTAAATTTTCGACCAAGGTTGAGATGGAGCCTATTTCAGGTGAAAAATAAAAACAAAATATAATGCAACCGCTAAAACATGTTTTTTTCATGAGTGTATGTAATAAATGGAAAATTATCGTATCGCACTTTGTTTGTGCAAATGATAATCCAGGCTTGTGAGCGTTCAGCTTGTTTGCGTTCCGTTCAGCGTTCAAAAAAAATTACGTTTCCGTTCAATGTTTTGCGTTCAGCGTCCGTAGCGTTCAAATATTTAAAAGTACTGCGTAGTGATGACTTTTTTTATAAAAAGAATTTCCAAAAAAAAGTACTGCGTATTGATGGACGTTTTTTTTAGAAAAGAATTTCCCAAAAAGTACTTTGAAAAATAAAAATTGTTTTGGACGATAATTATTTAAAAAATATATATTACGGTTCAAAATCTTGTAACTGGTTTATGACTTATTCTCTGATTGAAATGTCTTCATCGCCATAGAATATAAATATAAAAAGATACATATGACAAATACGACATCTTTTTCTTTTCTTAAATACAAATCAACGACAACAGCACAAAGCCTCACACAGATCCTCGCTAAGCTCCGAATATATACAAGCACCGAAGAAACTAATTCAACACCACACGCCCGCGGCGGGGGGGGGGGGGGGTCTACAACATGGGGGGGGGGGGTCTACAATATAGATGACAAATATGTTCATATATTTAATGTACATACTACTACTCCGTCCCGACATCTTTTCTAGCAATGCCACTTAATCCCCTTAATCAAGGCAGAACTATCCTGTAGATTCTCAACTTGCAAACACCTTCTGGGAGCCACCACACCGTCTGACTTTGAAGTGAATGCAGTGGTTGATGCTACTTAGGAATCTGTCTCCGCCCAGGGCTTTGCAATGGAACTAGACTGAAGGTCACTCACATGCATAACAACTGCATCCAAACCTCAATTATGATAGGTGCTAACCAAGGTAACGAAGTCCTGATTCTTCGCATTCAATGAGTCATTTACACTTAATTAAGATTAATTTCGAGAAAAATAATTGATAATGTTGAAAACACACCATGTTTCACTATAAATAAATAAAATACTACGGAAGTGGTAAGAAGAAGTATCAACTAAGGTAAAGACAACGTTATCCATAATACATTAAAATTATTTTCATAGTCTAGTTCGTAGTTTATCAATTACATTTTGATGGAACACACTGTATGTATCATAAAGTCCTTTTTAAGGTGTAGTGGCAGTAAAATAGTATGAGTTTAGCTTTAATCAAATTTTTTTGTAAGGGTGAAGCAGATTTTCAGGAGAATTTTGTGTGTTATAAAACCTAAAGTATCATGTTAGTATAATAAACTGTAATTTTTTCATATTTTAATTGAAAACAAAGATATTCCCATGCCGGGAATTGAACCCGGGCCCTGCTGGGTGAAAGCCAGCTATCCTAGCCGGCTTTCACCCAGTATAAGTAGATACGGATAAGAGTTTTTCTAAATTAGAAGAATGTACCTCCAAGATGTTTCGTTCCATGAATTTAATCATAATATTGATGGCTAAAGCTCAAAAAGTGTAGAAAAAATATTTTAAAAAAACTTAGCGTCCTGAAGGAAGGCATACTTCTTACCAATGGCCGCGGTGCGCCTCCCAGTGCTTGGTATCATCGGAAGGGTGTTGAGGCATAACGTGGACCCTCACTGCTGATGACCCACTGTCCGGAGTCGGGGGTTTACCTTTCAAACGAGGGATCCACTTCTCAATCTGGCTTTTCTTTTTTACCTTCAGGAGACACACTAAAGAAGTTATGTACTGACCTCACTGGCGGCCTAAATATTATGAATCAACTGTTACATCACATTCAAGTTGAACATAGTTAATGTACACCCAATCATATTTCAGGGTCCTGGAGATGCTGCTGCGATCCTGGGATGGGAGGACACAATTTATACTAGTATATTGGGCTAGTGTCAGTTAGTGGACAGTACAACTGACTTGACAATTCCATTGGGTTCTTCAAATTTTTAGTCTATTTATTCCTAACGCTCAAATGAAAAAAATGTACACTATTTTTTACATAAAAAAATGTATCTAAGTAAAATAAACAATTAAGGTTTAATATAAAAATTTTATAAAGAGGTATATCAATAAAATATTGTAAAGGAACTATTTGAAAATGGATATCTTTTCTTAATTTTAAAATATTCTTTTGATTTTGAAGGGTCAAATTTGAGGACATTCCCTGCAAGAACCCATGAATTCTCGGTGTCGGAAGGGATCTTGAGGGTGAGGGCGGGCGTATCAGGCGCCAGCAGAGAGCGTCGAAGATCTCGAAGAATAGATGATTTTAATCTACGGTTTTTTGTCAAACAACTCGTTATGGGGCTCTGGAGTTTGACAACGCAAATTCTATTGCTTACTTTTGGGTGAATTAAGTCCTTTTTTCTCGTTATTTTTGTATATTTGTTGTTGTTGGTCTTAAATCCCGTACATTGATTGTCAGAAACTGGTTAAGCTTGTGACAAGCGGACAAATAACAAATGCATGCTCACGTTATTGTACAGCTTGCACAATTAAGCCAATGGAAATCG